AGATTTGGTCCAGGCTTTGTAGAAAGTTGACAACTGGCTACAATGACGAGCAATGGTGCACTGATTTGCACTGAGGACTGTATTTTGTTGTCCATTGTGTAATGATTGATTGGAAGAGCTCATACATGTGTTCGCAGAGTAGAATCTGCTTTTGTTTCATATTTTAAATGTTTTTCTACGGTTAGAGTCAGTTTGCACTTTGACCATGAGTGCCTCTGTTTAGGCCTGTGTGCGCTAACTGTATGGAAAGTGTGGAGTTTGCTGTCATGCAGTGGCCAACTCAAAAATACAAACCTAAAAAAGTGTCACTGCTGTGTCGGCAGACGTTCAGGCAGAGGTTGGAATGAGGAGTGAGTTTATTTAAGTGGAGATGGGGAGGACAGGAACCAAGAAATAACTAAACTGGGAAAACCTAAACACATGAAACTGAAGCCAAAACTCACAAGATAACATGCAGCGGAACACAGGGAGACCCGGGGAGACATCACAGAAGAACCAGCAACTAACAGAGGCAAATACAAGGCTTAAATACACATAGGTGATAACGTGGGAATGAGACACAGAAGGAGAGCACAGCTGGGAGTAATCAGACATGATGAGACCAGACCTTCACAATAACACAGGAAATACACAAAGACGCAGACCAGAGGGGAAGAGAAAAACACTGAGGAGCACGAGGGAGAGCACAGACATGATGATAAACTAAACTAAACTAAACAACTTAGGACCGATAGAACAACTCCAAAAACAACAAATGAACTTCACAGTCTACAGAAACACAAGGAAACAAAGAATACTGGGTCAGAATGACCCAGGACCATGACAACAAGTATAATGATGTGGGTGGTAATCTGCGACTATGGTACCAAAATGATTACCATCATCATCAACTACTTCCTGCCTTTACAGCTGGACTTTTTTGCCCTTTAAAAGTGGCAAAATGTGTGCCTATCTAACCACCTACTGTGGCACTGTGGCATATCATGTTAAATAACTTTTAACAGCTGCACTGACCTAGTTTTCATTTCTTCACAAGTTGTTTTTCATTATGTGTCACATCATTTGGTGACACAGTTGTTGAAGCAGCAGTAGGTCAGATGTTTAGGCTCCTTCAATTGTTGAAATCTCCTTGGGCATACCACTAAACCCTGTATTTCCCCAAAGCAGCTGTGGCCATTGGTAGATCTGGCTAATAACACTTGTTGTAAAGTGGACTTTAATGTTTGTTCATTATCCTGGTACACCAAGATTTTCTTTAATTATCCCATTATGTCCCGGCTCTGCTAGGCAACAGGGAAGGTAACATAAATGAGGCCACCACGGAGGGAATCAGTTTAAGAAAAAGGTTTATTACAAAAAAAGTGAGAACTGAAAACTGATAGCAAACCACAAGGCAATTGGCCAACACAAAAGAACTTTCTCGTGTACAGGTACAAATTAGGTCTAGCCTCACAGGCAGGAATACGACTGAAGGCTATTCAGGCAAAATTCCACACCTTAAACAGAGTTCAACAAGCATGGTACAAAGACAGAAGCTTGAGGGACAACCTGCACATTCAGTCCAAAGCAGTGTCCACTGAATGAAAGTTCTTCAGCCTTTTGTAGTCACAGGTGGGTACAATCAGTCACTCATTGGTCCCTGGAGCATCACAGGTCAACAGCCAGCCAATCGTCTGTAGGTCCTGGCACACTTGGGTTTCCCTACAGGGAGGCCGGCCCACTTCCTCCAAGGCCAGGGGCCGTAAAATCAGCCTCAAATGATCATTTCATACACCCACAGGGGATCTCCTCCTGGTCAGACATTTCTTTTTTTCTTTTTTTTTCTTTCTCTTGATGGAGGTGGTCACACTTTCTCCCTCTCCCTCAGTCAAGGCCGCCCGCGTCGACCGAAGATTGTTGACTTTTGCCTAACTGAGTGAAGGGACACTTTCTCTCAGCTGAACACGGACACACGCACACATACGCATGTACACTGACAGAGACCTACACTCACCCCCCCACCCCCACCCCCTCCAAACGCCTTCAAAGCTTATGTCTTCTATGTTGTGAGATGTGATGATTCATGTGTCATGTGCTGAGGTGTTTTTTTATTAAACTGATCTCCCCGTTGGAGCTCAGTCTGGGGGGAGTTCGTTTGTCTTTCTTCGTGTTGTGCACTTTCCATTGTTTCGGATCGGGTCGCTGCTCGTGCGGTTGACCGTCCATTGCTAGCCTGACCTGTCTCCCCAATGTGATGTTTGTGTATTGTATGTGCGGTTGGCAAAGTATCTATCTCAATTGCCCCTTGGGGATAAATAAAGTCTCTCTGACTGTGACTCTGACTGAGACATGCTTGAAGCACAACACCTAAGTGGTGATCAGTAGGCCAGAACCACCTCAGCTGACTCCTTTGGATGTGGTAGAGCAGCAGCTCTAACCAGACTCCCACAAATGACCCGTCTCAAAGAGCGAGCCCAAACGTGATTTGGAAGAAGCTCATGTCTACCACTTGTATTCTGCTGAATTTTAACCCAAACCATAACCTTTTTTTTTTTGAAGAACCTAACAATGTAGGACAAGTGTAAAGTTCACTGAGCTGTAAGGTGAAAGTCACTTCTGTGAAAGATTGTTTCATGTTTTAGGAGCAAAGTGATTAATATCAGCACAAACCCCCTGGCTTCTGTGATGTATTTACCCATTAAAAGGGAAAATATTTGTGACCATTTCACCAACAGTATCCTGTTCAACAGACTGTGGGTTTGCATATCTGATGTCACAGGGATTTGCAGCATGTATTTGCAATCGGTGGTTTTTTTGTTTCGTTTTTTTGCTTGTTTCGTGAGGGAAGGACTCGTTTGTCTCACCTCAATGGCCTTACATTCCTCAGGGTTCAATTTTAGGGCAACAGTTCAGACAAGACCTCAGATAGGAATGAACTGTTCAGAATTTGATTTATAGGCCCTTCGAGTCTGATAGTAATGCAAAAGAAACCAAGGTTTTCTATAAATTACTTGTAATTACTTCAAACACATATAATTGACAGTTTTCATTGTAACACATAAATTATTAAAAAAAGTCTTGACCCATCCACACGAAGCTGGTCAAAAAGTGTGAAAGTCAGTCATCATTTTCTTTTAGTTTTAAAACAGCAAAAATAAACAGCTTCTTCTCAGTGTTTAACTCGTGCTGTCTATGCCCATAAAAATTGATAGTTTCTTTGATCTAAATAAAACTGCATGTGCAAAAAAAGCAAAAAGAAAAGACACCAGGAATGGGATGAATATCTTTCCAGAGTATTGTATTTATCAGCCCAAAAGAGAATTTTACATGACTGGCACTCTTTATGTTCTCGTCCCTGTGAATCCCCTTTGCTGTAACACGTCATGCTATACAAATAAATTGACAGTGAACATAAACACTGCAAATAACTACAGTGCTCCAGAAATGACTTTAAAAATGTGCTGGTCCTTTTATTTGATGGTGAATTGAGTCTACATCACAAAAAAAGTGGTTAGCAACAGCATAAAGGCAGAAAGTCCCACATTCAGCACCTGAAATGACTGTAAAGTTTAAAAATCAACCCTGCCACATTATAGGGACAAGTGAAAATTTCTGCCACCTGTTATGGACTATTTTTATAATAACACATTAAATGGGAAACCACAATGGGACTCTACTGAATGCACTATTTTATTCCACCTTAGGTCACAGCCATGTTCTTGTGATTTAGGATTTTTGACAATTTCTTTAATGACAAATCAATAATTTCTTATTAGAGTTGACAAGATAACTAAATTCAGATTTAGCTTTTCTAACTGACCAGCCCCGTCACCCTGTTTTTCTATGCTTTCATGTACCCAGGGCCCAATTTCCACTGTAGAATTCTGTTTATTTGACCCATTGAAGTAGCATTTTCTGCAGCACTTTAGCTCAAAACTGAAAGAATTCTGCTTCTTAAATTTAGATTTTTACACGGAGACCCTATTTAAAGCTAAAGTTTGATTAGAAGTTTCATTAGAAGAGAAAATTGATATCACAGTCATTATCTGCTTTGCTCTTTTCTGTGATTTTATTACAGGAAGGCCACAGCGCAAGAACCTACTATGGAGTGGCAAGTGGGCCGAATGCTCCGAATGCATCATTTTCCAGGAAATAGAGCCTCCACTAGACAAGGAGAAAGGAACGGAAGACTCCCTGCATAGACACATGCTGTATTGTAAGCTATTTTAAAGAATTAGCCAAGTGATTACTGTAAGTGTGTTAACCGCTGCACTAGAGAACCGATCTTAAAGATGACAAAAATTACAATAAAAATTTAAACCTTTGATTATTTTAAATGTTTGACACAATTCCAGCTTTCTGCTGAATGCACACACTAAACTTTCTTGACTAACTTACTTTTCGGTAACTATTTTTCTTTCAAGCTCGCAGCAGTAATAGCTCTGACATGGTGGCAACATTTCTGAAAAATGCAGCCTGTCATAACATGCAGGCGAACGTCACACCACGTCAAGAGAAAGGTGAGCGGTTTAGATATTATCTCTAACCACTTAAATAAATTTGTTTGTGCTTGAATGCAATAGTATTTGTCGACCTCTAAAGTTATACCTGTATTTACAGAGTTTTGCACGTAGTTATCAAGATTACGGTGAGCACATGCAGCATATACATTTTTCATATGTATGTGTCTATGTATGTATGACTGTTAAAATGTTCTTGGTTTTTACAGGTTACTGTTGGATCCACTGGCATCCTCAATGACAAGAATATTTCTTTCTTTTTTTCTTGAGTAATTGTTAACCAATTAAAACCAAAACACCTAAGTCCTGTCTCCCTCATGTAATTTGCTTTTCCATTTTTAAATTTATAAGTATATCAAGTTACGGTTCATCAGAAAACATCACAAAAAACACAGTGATCTTTATTGTTAAAATGAAACAACATCTATCAAAGATCTACACAGGAGGGGGCCTGCCTTACAGTACGTCTCTGCAGAAAAAAACTGGGTGATTTCCATGATGCTTTTGAGCAGAATGAGCTGTTCACAAAAGTTGTAAAGTAGGTGTCAAGGTTGTGCTGTGGCAGGCAGGATGTAGAAACAAAACAAGATACAAGAAAGAAAACATGATAGCCGGGAGCTCAGTAGGAACTCAGGAGACCAGAAACTAGAAATCAAAGAAACTAGAAAACTAAGAGCTGATGAGAAAACAAACCCAGGAGCAAGGAGGAAACATACAGCACAGAGAGGGTACGACATGACAACAGGCAGAGGAAAACACCGTGCTAAAATACACAGGGGAGAAACAAGAGAATGGAAACAGGAGGGAAACACAGCTGGGATTAATCTGACATTAAAAAAAACGATTTTTATTCTCTGGCTTTTAACTCTGTGGGAAACTGATATTTATCATTATTTTTAATTTTATTGATATGTCTGGTTTTATTACTATGTGCATATTAGTATTGTACAGCACTTTGATCTACCAAGTGTGTTTTTAAAGTGCTATATAAATAACTAAATGATGATGATGATGATAACAAGACGGGGAGGAAGCAAAATTGAATACACTGAACACAGGAAAAGGAAGCTTAACACAGTGAATGGGGAGACACGGTGAACATAGGGACAAGGGTGACTGGGCATGAAACATGGGACATGGGAAAAGCACCGAGTAGACGTGGGAACAGAGACTAAACACGGGCTAACATAAATACTAAGGAGGAAGGACTACAATCACTAAGAACACAAGAAATAAAGAGAACCAAAACCAGGAATAACAATAAACAATCAAGATTAAATCAGAATCTGAAACACAAATACAGTGACAGTAGGATTATTGTGTCCACTTTATTATTGTTTTACTCAATGCATATTACATCCACAGTCATTAAAGGAATAGTAAGTTTGCTTAATACCACACAGTAATTGTGCCATCATCAAAATTCTACCATCATTGTATTTGATCTTTCCTCAGGGAAACAAAGGGGAGTGTGATTGTGAAATGAGTGTTTGTAAAAAACCCAGTCACTTAGTAACTTGTTATTGAAGTAATTTAGGCAGTTGCAAATGCCTTGGGGAATCCATCATAGGTAGTGACACACAGTAGACAAAGTGAATGTTTTTTTTGTATTTTGTTTTGTTGTTGTCGTTGTTGTTTTTTTTGGGGGGGGGGCACCAAAGGTTGGTTCTAGAATTGAGTGAGTTACTGAGCACACCTCATCAGTATATGAGATGTAGTAGAGTGTAATAAGTCTCTCGCATTGTTCAATTCAATTTTATTTATACAGCTCAAAACCACAACAAAAGTTGCCTCAAGGTGCTTTGTATTGTAAGATAGATCCTACAAAAATACTTGCTGAGGAAAACCCAACAATCGTATGACCCACTATGAGCAAGCGCTTTGATCACAGTGGGAAGGAAAAACTCCCTTTCAACAGGAAGAAACCTCCGCAGAACCAGGCTCACCGGTGTCCACATTGTTGTGGAGAAATTTAAACCCACTCTTCTTTACATTCCTTCAGCTCATTGAGCTTTGTGGGCATTCTCTTATACACAGCATTTGTGTATACAGATCATTTTGTTTTAGATTTCCGGATTTTTTTGGGATCAACAAAGTTTCAGCCAAGCTTTGTTTGTCAGACAGATGGTCTTACATCTAGCGCTATAACACTAAGGTCTATGCTTGACTGTAAACTGACTCCATCCATTGGGCCAAATCATCACCCATTCATCACAGTACTAAACATTTGGTATGAAGTGTTTACTGAGATCCGACTGTAAACTGACTCCATCCATTGGGCCAAATCATCACCCATTCATCACAGTACTAAACATTTGGTATGAAGTGTTTACTGAGATCCGACTGTAAACTGACTCCATCCATTGGGCCAAATCATCACCCATTCATCACAGTACTAAACATTTGGTATGAAGTGTTTACTGAGATCCTGTGTTTGGTTTTCTCCACATGTGGAGCAATGATTTATGAGCAAACATTTTCTTTTTGGAGATGTTTGATGTTTCAGTCCAAATGACATTGTTCTAGAAATCTTGTGGTTTGTTCAGATGCAATTTTACAAACTTAAAATATACCACTATGTTCTTTTTAGTCAGAAGAAGCTTCCTCAGGGCAATCAAGCCAACTTTTCTAAAGATAATATCATGAACTTGATCTAACATACTAAGTCAGGCCTATAGAGTCTAAGATGTGGCTCTTGCATATTTTTGCCATTTCACTGAGCATTGCATTGTCGGACCTTAGGGTGAATCTTCTGGAATGTTCCCTCCCAGGAGGATAATTCACAGAAAACAATCATGGCACCTGCACTGAAGGTTTTCTTCTTGTGAATAATCCTTCTTGGTAGGGACGGGTATCATTTAGGTTTTATCCGATACCGGTGCCAAACCGGTACTTTTGAAATGGTGCCGGTGCTTAAACGGTGCTTGAACCGGTGCTTAAAGAATGGAGAACACAAA